TCGCCGGTGTCGCGGCGTGATCAAAGCTTCCTTGGCACGCCGAGTGATGCATCTTTGTGCCTTCGCACGCTTGGATACCGGTCAAGAATTGACGCCGCGCCAAAGTTCTGAACGTGTGTCGCGCGTAGATGCCTTTAGATCCTTTATATATATCGGCCACGGAGTTCTGGATCGTCCAGCTGTTCCGGTGAGTTGCTATCAATAAAAGGGGGAGATCTGTACGTGTTCTTATGTACTATATTAACCATGGCTATGTCCCAAATCTACTCTAATAGATTCCGTGGGAGCACGAATAGGGCAACGTTGTGGAGCCAGGGGGGTTTTCGAAAGCAAAAGTACAAGACGGCGAGAATGAAAATCTTTGAAGCGCGGCCGATATGGTCGTGTGCAATCTGTTGACCAATTACAATTAGGCGAGCCGCGCTCAAACGTCAAGTGCAATTAAGTAGGTTGATAATAAGCCAGCACTGATCAGTGATGAGGAGCTGTTGTGCACGGTATTGTGTAAATCGTCTAAGGACGAAAAAAAGACGTACCTTCCCCCCATCTTCCGTCGCTAGTGGACGCTGGATTAAGCTCGTTCCTAAACCGCGAGGGGAAAAGACGCTGATCCAGAGGCACGAACAGCTTCACGCACATTGCACTCGCTAAACACATACACACGGCGTCGGTTCTTGGTCGGTATCCAAGCGTGCGAAGGCACAGAGACACGGCATTTCGGCGTGCCAAGGAAGCTTTGAACACGCCGCCAGCCCTTCCTTCGACGCGTTGTGCCTTTTTCCTGCGACACTGCACTTTCGTAAAATTTTACACGTGTTCACAACGGCAATTAAGTCTCAACAATACACAGTCTTCAAAAAACTTCTTCGGCGAATGACGACGAACGAGTAGAAAACGTGTCTACAGCACGCTGGAAAACCGCAGCAAAGGCTAGCAAAAACGGCAAATCGTATCCCAAGCGAGAGAAGTCCGGTGGCTTCACTTGCGCTGCAGCGAACAAGCGGGGAAGCGCGATCCAGCAATTGTCATAGAGATCAGTGGCAAGCAACGTGACCTCAGTTGTGGAACTTCCGCCGGAAGGAGGTACCCCCCCCCCTCCCCCTTTTCACTCACTTCAATCCGCCTCCCGTCGTTCAATGCGCCATCTACATTATCGTTTCATAAGGCGAGTCGTGGGGAGTGAGGGGGGTACTGCTCGTGGATGTAGCGTCTACGAGTAGTTCCGTAACTGAGCTAATCCAATGACGTTGATCGCAGGTGGCAGAAAAAATTTACCCCATAATTGATGACGTCGCAAGATGGCCCTGTGCTCTAAACAAACCGTTGCTAGGGCTTTTATGAACAAATGGAGGCTCGACGCGAGGTTAGACTTTGTCTGATAAAGAAGTTAATATTTTGTAAGCATTGATGTCTTTTCAATATCTTATTATGAAGACTTTTTGATACTTTAGACCCATTTTATGGATTAAAAAAAAGTGAAAGCCGTTTACAAATCCCTGTAACGCCGAATTGGAGCGCAGCTCTTGAGGAGGAGGAGTGAAGGGTACTGAGGGGAGGGTAGACCCTTCCCCCTTCTCCTCCTCCTCCCCTCATTCTTTAATATGCTCCGGGGGGGGTCACGTGACCTCGGGGGGTGTGTGTCACGTGACTTCGGGGAGGCGTGACCTGGGGGTCACCTCAAGGTCACGTGACCCCCAAGGTGACCCCACGTGACCTTGGGGGTCACGTGACCTGGAGGGATTACGTGACCTGGGGGTCACGTGGGGGTCACCTTGGGGTCACGTGACCTTGAGATGACCTTGGAAGGGGTCACGTGACCTTGGGGGTCACGTGACCTCGGGGGTCACGTGACTTTGAGGAGGAGACCACGTGACCTCGGGGGTCACGTGACCTCAGAGGGGTCACGTGACTTGGGGGTCACGTGACCTTCAAAGGGTCACATGGGGTCATCTTGGGGTCACGTGACCTTGAGATGACCTTGGTAGGGGTCACGTGACCTCGGGGGTCACGTGACCTTGGGGGTCACGTGATCCCAAGATGACCCCACGTGACCCCCAAGGTCACGTGACCTTAGGGGTCACGTGACCTTCAGGGGGTCACGTGGGGTCACGTGACCTTGAGATGACCTTGGGAGGGGTCCGTGACCTTGGGGGTCACGTGACCTTGGGATGACCTTGGTTACGCCGACGCCGACGCCGACGGCGACGGCGACGCCAACGGCGACGCCGACGGCGACGCCGACGCCGCTCAAGCCGGGAACGGGCCCCTAAGAGCTGCGCTCTAAAAAAACAGGGCGCGGGATGGCCAAGAAAACACGCTTTTCGTGTAAGGCTCGCCAAATTATGAGGCGCTAAAGAAAACCCGTCTGCGTTAAGAGCTTATTTCGAACTCTTTTTGTTCGCGTTCCGCTTGGAACCACTTGGATCTAAAGTATCAGCGTGCCGACTTTTTTGTCATCGTAGTGCCATAAAACGATCATAAGAAGCATAATAGAAAGTCACAACTTGTTTGGCCGTGTTATACTCCGTTTCACCTTATGTTGTACCGCAGTGGAGGCTAGAAGCGCGTGCTCATAGCATTGGCAGCCGCCCTTACTGCACGAGAGCTTCTACCGCCAAGATGTGCCCTGAGCAAGAAGCTCGCGCTTGTAGCCTTTACTGCGGTACATCATAAGGTGCAAACAGAGTATAGCAGACGACACGATGGCTTCGCAGGTTCAGTGGTTCTTTCTGAGGGAGTACACGAGTGCACTAAATTAAGCTCGTGAAGAGCGACGAAATATATATTATCAAGGTCAACTCTCTGTGGAATTTTGGACGCGAAGAGTGCCCGCTTCGCCCGTGCACAGCTTTGATCGACGCTCCAGGTGCTCGAGCGCGCGAAACCCTGCTCGTGGAGGCTTCCGCAATGCTTGAGAAGGGTGAAAAAACTGTGAGGCCAATAGACCGATCTCACCAAGCGTTCCACGCATGCGTGACGCCGCCATAACTGTAGTTCGTAGGAGGCAGACGCCAGTTCACGCGACAGCTCATGCTGTCTCGTGGTCTGCTCGCGCAGACCTCCAGCAGGGTTGTCGGGCGTGCAAAAAGACTACAGCTCCCACGATGCATGTCGGCAGCGGCGGCGTACTCAAACTAGCTGTGAGATCGGTCTATTGACGTACAGCAATGACGCGAAATGTTTCAACGTCAAAGTGCAGGCGAGCACACGTTTCAAGGAGTTCCGACAGCATAGAAGTTTTCAGTGCACATTTGTGTGGTCGAAGTAACTGTATGTTAGAGTTATTTATCTTGCCTCATGTTTTGATTCAGCTCTTTCGCAATTGGAGTCTTACTGAAAACGGAGAAACCATGCAGCATGACATGTTTCTGAGTGTGATGGTTACAAGCAAGTACGAAACACACACCCATATTGCGATCCTGGGAAACGAAGTTTGGTGTCTCCCGATTATGTTAGAGTTATAATGATTACTCCTTTATTACAATGCACGTCAATTGCAAGATCAAAAAAGAGGGCCTGACGCTGCTTTGATATCACGTTCGAAAGACTTAAGTTTTTCTCGCTGTATCGTTAGCAGATCTCCATACGTGTGATGATTTTTGTCAGACAGTATCCGGTATCGCACGCGAGTACAATTCGGCTTTTATAGACCTCATGAGTTTTCTTAGACCTCCCATGTTCACAATAAACACAAGATCAAAATCGTATCATTATGCAAACGATTCAAACTATTCAAACTGTTGCAGGCGGCATACTTGAGTCATTCCGTATATGTTCGTCGTCCGCAGCAGACATCTCGAGAAGTCTCGAGGACCAGAATTTGCAAATATTTCAGAAACAGGCGATTCTCGGCAAACTTCTGTCGTGGTGAATGTGAAATCTAGTCTTCCTATATCTATTCTTTTCAAACGTCCACGTCTGATTTCTGAACGGTGGCTCTTTCGGAGCGATATCCAGTCCCATGTATTTGTCCATAGCAACGCCCCTAGCAACGGTTTGTTTGCAACTGTGACGTCACACTTACGAGGTCAAATGTCTGCTAAAATTGTCTTTTTTGCAGCACGAGACGACACTTTAGAAGGCGCAAATCGCTGGGGCTTTGTTTACAACAACGGTTTACTACACAACGAGGAAGTGCTCGAGTAGAAACGCTGGCCTACAGGCGACAGGTGCCGCTAACGTATAGGTCGAAAATAGGGACCTTTAGCAAACCGTTGCCGTGCTCCGCGTACCGCACTACCGGAGCTTTTGCAGCAGGCTTTTAAGCGCGCGCCCGGGTGATGCCGTGACTGCGGGGCGCGCGCTGAAAAGCATGCTTCAGAAGCTTCGGTAGTGCGGTACGCCGAACACGGCAACGGTTTGCTAGAAGTCCCTAATGTCTACGTATTAACACACCGTGCCTCAAATGTTTCGATGATCACCTTCACGATTCCACAAAAATGACTCATATTTGTGTTCTTGCGCTTATTTCTCTTCGAAAACTCTCGAGGGGCAAATAAGTCGGTGCAGTACAACCGTTAAAATGCAGTAGTAATTACTTGACCGTGCGCCGGTATATGCCTTGACGTGTCAAAGCCGACAGGGGTGAGGTGTGGGCCCGGCTTGACCTTCGTGCTCACCGTTCAACGCTTTTTGCAAGATTCAGTGTTGCTCGGAATCTTTTTCTAAATTAATTACTGGCAGAGCAGTTGACGCGCGACCGTATTAATACTATGAAGAATATATTTACCCCATTGTTACATCTGTAACATTAAGCAGATATACATAGTCTAAAAACAATCACGATTACGATTTGGTGAAATTAACCTGCTCACATTGATATTTTTTTTACTTGACATGAAGAAGTGATAACTTAAAATATGATATGTGTTCTGGTTGCAACTAGAGACTGCATCATTTATTTCGTAAGAAGTAGATAAACTTTTTTTTATATTTATCAAACACCGCGTTCTTATTGGTTACTTTTTTTTTTATAAACCGACCCTTTTTTTTTTATCCAGGGGACGTTGCTTACTACGACGAAACTGGGCGACTCTACATCGTGGAAAGATTGAAGCAATTCTTTCACTGCATGGGGCGGCAAGTTGCAGAGTCAGAGGTTGAATCTGTGTTGCTGACACACGAAAGCGTCGCAGAAGCAGCTGTGATCGGTGTTCCACATTCTGAATACATCGACGTCGGAAAAGCGTTCGTGGCCTTAAAGTCGCCTCTCGGCGGGCGCACGAGCACCAGTGCCCACGAACTGCAGGTCTTTGTCGCAAGTAAAGTATTATCGGGCGGTCCATCCTAGAATCAGTTTTTAACATCTATAGACGCTCTCAGGCAGCTGTGCACGGGCGCCGCCATAACAGACCTTCAGTTTTTGTTTCCCCTTATTCCGTTCGCGTCACTTCACCATTACCAAAGCAGGACAGGTTATCGCCACTTTAGATGCTACTATGTCCTTCTCCCGAGCATAGAGATTTGTAACGGCTTGTCAATGCCCGCTTCACTGGCTCAGCATCTCGGTAAGACTAAAGTAACTGGATTTTGGGAAAGTAGCACCAAGCTCCTGGTATGGCCGCCATTTAGATTATAAGATGAGCAATTTCTCCTTGGCCTTTTCATCCTTGGTGAACGGACCTCAATTCGCTCGTGGCGGGTAGCTTTATACAGACTCTCTTGCATACTGCGATTTTGCTACCCACACACCGGCAAAACAAGCGTACATCTTCGTACCGCCACCACACGCGGAATCGGTGCTTGGAGCTTTAAAAAATAATTTCCTTGTCTTGAAATACGCAAAGAACAATAGTATCCTCATAAGAGATCCGTTGTGATTGGCGTGATTGATAAGTTGATTGCATACACAGTGCCAAAGACGTTTAAATCGAGAAGGAAGGCCTTCAGTACGACGATGCTCCATGGCGATGTTGGTGCATGACTGGTTCAGAACTACATTCTCGAAGCTGCGCGACTCCAGCGACCCATAGGGGACGCCACTATCAGGCAAATACAGCGGTCGAATTCAGGTCCTGCCGTGTCATGTGCCAGCTCAACGCACAACGCTGCAGCACCAGCAAGTAAGCATTCCACTCAAAATCGCTTGCCTCGCGTTTTATCTTCCACGTTGCGAACCTGCGGCGATGTGTTGGGGTAAGCGAACTTCCAGAGGCTTGACTTTCTTCGAGGAAACGAGGAAAGGAATGCCCACTGTCCTTCTGTACTGTCCCGAACCTGACCTGCATATATGTGCATAGCTTCAATGTAATTAAATGTACATAACAAATTTGGCGACGAGGAAATCGGAAAAAGCGGGCGAGACTCCGGCGACTCATCATGGTTGAAAGGACATCGCTGACATTTGAAGCTTTCCAGGCAGGTAAGCCGGAGACATGGCCATTATACCTTTAACGGCTGGAATTCTACTTTGAAGCCCATGGGATCGCTAGACCCAAGATGAAGCGAGCCGTGTTCTGCAGCGTTTGCAGAGCCGAGACCTATGCAATACTGCATTCCCTCTGCGCGCCAACGACACCTTCAGAGACGGACTACGCTGACATCATTAAGAAGTTGGGAAATCACTTTGCACCAAAGCCCTCGGAAATCGTGGAACGCTTTAAGTTTCATAAGCGGGCACAGCACAGCTACGAACCCATGGCTGCATTCATCGCGGACTTACGCCGTATTGCAGTTACCTGCAACTTCGGAGACGCCCTCGACCGCAGTTTGCGCGACCAGATAGTCTGTGGAGTTAAAGATGAGGCCTTGCAACGACGTCTGCTGAGCGAAGCCGAGCTTACGTTGGCTCAAGCGGAGCAGTTGGCAATATCAGCGGAATGTGCGAAGAGCAATGCCATGGAGATTAGGACTACGCCTAAGGACGTTAGCCAAATCCACAGCGTGGCTAAAGATGGACCTGGACCGTCACCGCCTGCACAACATCATGCGAAGCCTGAAACCAAGCAAGCGACTTCCGTGTGCTATCGATGCAACGGGGCACACTTTCCACAGGATTGCCACTTCAAGAACGCCACATGCCTGTTCTGTGGCTCAAAGGGCATATTGTCAAAGCCTGTCTTCAAAGGAAGGATAAGAAAAGTTCTCCAAGAGCAAGACGGGGGACGGCGCAAGCTGATCTTTTAGACGGCGATACCAACAAGACGTACGAGCTGTACAACCTCTCGTCCAACGAACCTGCTATCCTCGTAGACGTAGACATCGACGGACAGCCAACAGCGATGGAGGTTGACTCAGGATGCATGTTCTCTGTCATAAGCAGGAGAACAATGGCCCGACTTCATATTCCAAATCAGAGGCTGAGACCATCTACTGTTGCGCTACGCACATATACGAAGGAGCCTGTTATCGTCCTAGGAAGAGTACTCGTGGAGGTTAAACACAAAGAAAGGTCGGCAACTCTGCCACTTCTGGTGGTCAAGGGAGAGTGCGCAAGCCTTCTTGGACGAAACTGGTTCAAGCATCTAGGAATCGGCCTCACAGGTGTCCATCAACTCAGAAACACCCAAGAGGGTAGCGGATTCCTGGAGGAGCTCAAGGAAATCTTCGACGCTGGTCTGGAACGTAGAAAAATGTTTGAACAGCAGTAGAGGCTTTAATACACGACGTTTCGGGAAGAGACTTCCCTTCTTCAAGTGTGCAGAAAATACAGTTGCAAAGCGCTTTTAGAGAGACCAAAGGAGAGGAGGAGCATTGGAAAAAGCGAAAGAAAAAAGTCATATGTATAATAGTACAAGTAAAAACACTTGAGCATGAAAAAACTACATTCCAACAAAACACATATAAAAAAGAAAAAAGAGAGAAGTGGTAGTTTTAAGGGTAACATGGTCGCGGCACTTGTTAGCGAAACCAAGAAAATACATCACAGGCAACAGCCTCCGTCACGTTAGAGTTAGAGCTCCAGATCCAGAAAAATAACAACATACAGGGGTCAAGTCGAGTGAGCCCAAGCCAGTATAACGCCGAAGCAAACGAAGGCTTGGGCTCACTCGACTTGACCCCTGTATGTTGTTATTTTTCTGGATCTGGAGCTCTAACTCTAACGTGACGGAGGCTGTTGCCTGTGATGTATTTTCTTGGTTTCGCTAACGAGTGCCGCGACCATGTTACCCTTAAAACTACCACTTCTCTCTTTCTTTTTTTTTACATGTGTTTTGTTGGAATGTAGTTTTTTCATGCTCAAGTGTTTTTACTTGTACTATTATACATATGACTTTTTTCTTTCGCTTTTTCCAATGCTCCTCCTCTCCTTTGGTCACTCTAAAAGCGCTTTGCAACTGTATTTTCTGCACACTTGAAGAAGGGAAGTCTCTTCCCGAAACGTCGTGTATTAAAGCCTCTACTGCTGTTCAAACATTTTTCTACGTTTACGACTTTCTTGCTGAAGACTTGTTCATTAATACAGTTAACGCTGGTCTGGGAAAGAGTCGGGGACCACCCATCCGTGTGGAGATCGACAGATCTGCTGCACCTAAGTTCTGCAAGTCAAGGCAAGTTCCCTATGCGATGCGTCCGAAGGTGGAGCAAGAACTAGGAAAGTTGGTCCAGCAGGGAATCCTTGAACCAGTAAAACACTCAAATTGGGCTACACTGATAGTCCCAATCCTGAAAAAGAGTGGTGAATTGCGGATTTGCGGTGACTATAAAAGTACCGTAAACAAGGCAGTAAAGTGGGAATCTTACCCATTGCCCACGCCAGAGCAACTCCTGAGCAACTTAGCGGGTTGGCGTCACTTTACACAGCTTGACCTTGCACAGGCCTACCAGCAGTTGACCGTCGATGATGAGTCAGCAAAGCTTTTCACCATCACGACGCACAAGGGACTTTTCAAGGTTAACCGTCTTCCATTTGGAGTATCCGTCGCCGTAGCGATCTTCCAGCGTTATATGGAGGAGTTACTTGTCGGAATTAAAGGAGTACTAATTTTTTAGATGACATCCTTATCGGCGGAGAATCCAAAGAACAGCACGATAGACGCCTGCGAGCTGTGCTGCAGCGATTCAAGAAAGAGGGGTTACGCCTTAACAAGGCAAAATGTACGTTCAACACAAAGCAAGTCGTGTTTTTGGGATTCAGGATTGACAAAGACGGGGTGCGACCAACTGAAGACAAGGTCAAGGCCATTCATGAAGCTCCAGAGCCCAAGAACAAACAGGAACTACAGTCATTCCTGGGCTGGCTTAACTTCTGCCATCGTTTCCTCAAGGGAGCTGCTCACACCTTGGAGCCAGTGTACAGACTGCTGGATAAGGGGGCGAGCTGGACATGGACCGTCCTCGAAGCTGAGGCTTATCGCAAGGCGAAAGAACTGCTCAAGTCAACGGCAGTTCTGGCTCACTACGATATCAGCAGGCCTTTATTATTGACGTGCGATGCTTCGCCCTATGGTCTTGGAGCTGTCTTGAGTCATGTGGCCGACTCTGGGCAAGAGTCACAAATAGTTTACGGGTCCAGAACCCTAAGCAAGGCTGAGCGAAATTACATCGCAAACTGATCGTGAGGCCCTGGCGATCATATATGGTCAAAAGGTTTCACCAGTACATCTATGGCCGCCCGGTGACCATAATCACAGATCATAAGCCTCTGCTAGGATTGCTGAGTCCGCACAAGGAAATTCCAGCTATGGTGTCACCAAGAGTTCTCAGGTGGAGTCTAATTCTAGCCGCATACCACTACGATCTGCAGTACCGTCCGGGAAGCAAGATAGGAAGCGCTGATGCACTCAGTCGACTGCCTATTAGCGATGTGCGCGACCAAAAGCGTCGCTGCGGTCAGCTTTCCACGATTGGCCAGATCATGGGCATATGAGCTTTGTCAGATTGTCAACTTTGACGGTGTTAGTTCCGGTTGCGATGGTTCCTACCTTCCACTGTGCTTTTTAAACACACCATCGAACTCGTCGTCGCACCTGGCGGTAAGTAGCCAGAGTAACAACTGCTGACGTCACGGCGAGGCAAACCCCAGTCGTGACGTCACGGATGGAAACCATTAGAGGGCGCCACCGAAATATCTCGGCGCTAATACCTGCAACAGAGCTGGACGACATTCCAGTCGCAGACGTATAGATGCTAGAGACCGCTCCAGAACAGCCTTGGAACTCCGAGAAAATTGCAGCATCCACGAGAAAAGATTCCGTGCTTGCGCGAGTCCAGCGCTGGATCATGCATGGGTGGCCAGATGACAAGCAACACGAACAGTTCAAACCCTATACAACTAGGAAAGATGAACTATCAACTTATAAGGGATGCGTCATTTGGGGAA